GCTCCCTGGAAATCAATCAAGCTCCCCAGCCTCCAAAGGGCCCATGCGATCCATCCTCAGACCCTCTTCCTCTTCAGGGCTGCCACTCCCCTCCACCTCAGGAGCTTTGAAATTCAGACTTAAATAATTGAATTAATCCACCGATCTGAGTCACTCAATCATAACTAACCTTAATTCATTTTAATTAATTAATTCTAATTTAATTTGATGTTTCTCCTCAGGGAATGATAATGGGCCAAAGGTGAGAAACACTGTTCTAAGCATTTGTAAGTCTTGCCTGCTGAGTCTGAGGCCCTCACTGAGATTGCTGAGGGCCTACCCAGGCCTGGTACATAGTAGGCGTTGCAGAGAACAAACCAGACAAGAGCCTGCTGCAGAGTTCTGGCCTCCTTTTCCCTTGGTGCCATGGGCAATAGGGAGCCATGGAAGACTAGGGAGATGGAGAAAGAAAGAACTTCTGAGGTACACAGAGCAGCTCTCCTATTCCAACCAGACAGAGCAGATGCCAATACCTCCCCAAGCTCCCCCAGCCCAAGTCCCCCACCAGGCTGGCAGGAACAGAAATAGAGCAGCCCACGGCTTCTGCGACACCAGAGGAGGTGGCTGCAGCCAAACCTGGCTTGGCAGGTGGCCCACTTGGAGTGGAGCAGAGCTTCCAACAGGGACAGGATACCTGCCTTCAGGGCTCTCCCTGGAAGTGGCCACCCTTGGGTGGTCTGGGGCAGGGCAAGAACCTGACTGAACCTTTGTAACCACGGCAGAGCCCAGCTGCACTGGGGAGGAGACGCAAGAGCTCCGCTAAACTCGGTACAGCTAGTATATATATAGGCCCTCCCACCTGGCTCCAGAGGGATTTGAAGTGAGTTCACAAGAGGCGGCAAAATGAGCATTTAGTGTGCCAGAGTTTACACACGAGGCCTTGCGTTGCAGGCCCTGGGAAGCACGACGAGTCAGGCCAAAAATGTGAATCTCAGGGCCCTCCTAAAAGCTCTGCTGGGAGTGAGTTCCCCAACAGGGAGGCATGCAAGCAGAAGCTTGGGTTTCAGTGGGCACAGGGCTGGGAGGGATGCATGCATCAGAGGAGCTTTGTCTGGACGGTCTCACACCTACCCTGAGGGGTAACATGGCTCTGCCCACCAAGGAGCCAGGAAAGCAGCCTGAGGTGCAGCGGCAGAAGGAGTTGTTTTCTGGCCTTGCCTGGGCATGTTCAAAGCCAAGGGCAGAGGGCTACTATGTTTGGGGACTGCAGTACTGAAGTGCACAGCAACCAAGTGAATAGCTGAGGCCTCTCATGGACCTTGCCCTTGGGAACAGAACTGGGGGACCAGTGTGCAGAGGACCCCAGAGTGGGCATTCACCTCCCCGCTACACTGCTGCCCACTGTTCATAATCCATACACTCGCCTTCTCTAGAATGCAGAGACCCAGCCAGTGTCCCACCCAGAGCCCTGAGAGCCACCTGGTTCTTGGACAGCCTGCCCAGCTCAGCCTAGCCCAAACCCTGGCACAGTTCTGGAAGTGTCTATGGGAGGGAGGCACCACCTGGCTCAAGGGTTCAGCCTGGGGCCCGAGGATCAGCCTCTTGATGCCTGTTTTTTCGATCACCATACTAAGCTAGATGGACCTTCCCAGTATAGAACCAGAGGCAGAGAAATGGACAACGCAAAGGTAGGAAATCAGGGCAGGCCAAGGGCAGAGAGGCTTCTCGGCAGATGGCCTCTGGGAAGAAGCACATCTCCAGGGAGTCTTCTGGGAGATTCAGGCACTAAGGGCTAAAGTCCTGCAGCACACAGGCGCGGGAGCCCATGTGGACAGAGAGTGTTGGAAGGGCTGTGTGGCAGGGGGCCACGGGGAGCCACTGGGAGGGTTTGACTGGAGGAAGTGGGAACCACATGAGGTTCTGAGGAGAAGAAGAGATGAAGGTGACATTCACTGAGGAGGCCGCCTGCCCTGGCTTCCAGAAAGGAATTTGTGAATTCTCCATCCAAGGCAGAGGCCTGATACTGAACAGGCCTGTATGCTGCAATGTTAATGCTGCTCATGCAAAGGTTTGCAGGCTGTAACTGAAACAGAAAAGTCCACATGCTTCTGTCATCTGTCAGCCCAGAAACACATGAATTTGGGCTGGGACACCTGTCCAGACCCCATTGCCTGATGGGAAACAGACATTCCCGCCAAGGTCTCCCACCCACCCCAGGCCTCTCCCTTTGTGCTAGGAGCAGAGAGGAGAACAATCACCAAGATCATGGGTTGTGGGATCTGTCAAGGCCTACAGCTGTACTTTGTAAATGTCAGTGTGATCTGCACACTGGCTTTCTCACATCCATGCCTGAACAACTTTTGTAAAAACGGAAGCAACTCACAGGTGGAAACACAACCTGAAAACAGCTGGTGTTTCCAGTAAGAAGTAGAGAAATACAAACTATAAAGTGGGGGCCGGCCAGATAGCTCAGTGGACTAAAGCACCTGCTTAAGGAGGCATGGGCTGGGGTTCGATCCAAACGTGTCTTGCCAGCCCCGCCCCCAGGGCGTGCTGAGCCAGCAACTTAGACTGGGCGTGGTGGGGTGTGCCTGTAATCCCAGCACTTGGGAAGCTGAAAACAGGAGGATCACTACGAGATCAATCTGTGTAGCGAGACCCTGTACTAAATAGATTTTAAAAAAACAAAACTATGAAGTGGCTTCTTATTTGGCCAGGGCTTAGCAAACCGTTAACTACTTTGTAAACTTGAAAGTGCTTTGAAGCCCTGTACACAGGGGATCTGCAAACTGTAAATTACTTTGCAAGCCTTGTTTGGTAGGCTGCCAACTGCTCTGTAAAAAGTAGAGTTCACTGGAAGCTGTAGTGACCCGCCAGCTGCAGAGAGCTGTGCACAAGAACCTGTGTGCCAGGCCCCGGCCCTGTCACCTTACATCAGCCCCAGAGCCAGGCTCTGAGCTGGGTAGGGGCATGGACTGCATAGGCAGATCAGCCGCTAATCTGCTCAAAGGACTCGGCCCAGGAGAATGATGCAGGCCCCACGCGAAATCCCCACCTCTCCAGAACCAAGACGCGCAGAAGCAGGGCGGGGCTCCTAGGGACGCCGTCTAAGTCCGGGCTCTGCTGCCTCCTGGTGGCTGCAGGCGAGGCGACTAGAGCCATGTCCCAGAATTGTTCCAACTGACTGGCCAAAGCGTTGGGAAGCTGAGCAACAGAAGGGGAGGGGAGGGGAAGTATTCGCAAGAGCTGTGAGCAGAGCAGAGAAAGCGAGGAGCGAGGAGCGGTGGTGCGCACAGGCCTGGGGCTGGGCAGGGGAGGGCTAAGATCTCAAGCACAGGCACACTGACTGGTGGACCATCCACGCTCCTCCTCATGCTAGGTTGTGGGAGTTCTTTCCCGCATTCATGCATTCGTTATTGAGTAAAAGTGAAGCCTACTAGAGGCTGGTGGTCTTCTCCCACTAGGGACAGATACGCATGGACAGGTCAGATCCACCCAGGATGAGCTAAGCCAGGTAGGCACCCATAGTAGGGGTAGTCCTGGAAGGCCTCCCCAAGGTGACATGGAGCTAGCCAAGGAAAAATGGAAGAGGTATTCTAGACAGCTGGTAGTGAGTGCAAAGGTCCTGCCGTGAACCAGCCCTCATGGTAGAAAAGTAGAGGCAGACAAAAGCTCTCCAAAACCCCTGCATGCCATACCAGGGAAAAGTGAATGGGCAGAGACCTGTTGCAGACTAAGAACTGGCAATGGGTAATAGTTGAAGGCAGAGGACAGACCCTCTGGGCACCTGTGACCCTTGGTAAGCAGAGCTCTCACACCTGGAGATGTGGCAGGCAGAGACTTTACCACCCTAACCCAACACTACTAGCATGATTGGTTCGGGATGAGCATGCAACAACCTCCCAGACAATACAGGCCGTCTCTGGGACTTGGGGTAGAGCTCTGAGCCTAATGAGGGGTGCTCTCCCGTCTTGTCCATAGGAGAGCAGTGTAAAACGAACACTGATTCTAAGTCCTCAGGACGTTGACCAAGCTCCAAGTCTGAGGCCAGAACATTCCTGCTTATGCAAGCAAGTTCCCTTCTGCTTCTGCTAGTCATATGGAGAAGGGTTTTGAGCCCAGCCCAACCTTGGGATCACAGAGCCAGGCTGGACCCTAGCAACTGGGTCTGCAGTGAGCGTCCCCTACTCCCCTCACAGCCTTCTCTTGGCTGCTGCTCCCTGTCCCCGAGCCTGTTTCTCCATTTGGGGCCCTGTGGTTTGGCTCTCTGGTCATGTCATGAAGAAGATGGTTGCACCATCAGTGAGGCACAGGTCCAGCCCCTGATACGGCTCCTGCAGTGTGCTCGCCACTCTGCGCTGCTGGCTGTCATCAATCCCTGTGACGGTGGTGGTCCAGGCGGCCAACACCAGGGGACTGGGCCTGTGTGTGCGCACTGCTGCACCTTCGCATCGCTCCGCCCAGCGTCTAGCAAGCTGCTCCGTCACAACCCACTGGGAGCTCTGCACACCTTATGGAGGAAGCCAGCCAATGCTGGCCCAGGACAGCACAGACCAGCTCCCCAACCCACTGCCCTCCACGCTGTCCCAGGAGCCCATGTCCCTGAGGGGTGGGATTCACCACTGTCACAGTCTCATACAATCTTTGTCCCACTTTTAAAAATTTTTTTATTAAAACAGCAACAAGGCACCTGCCCCATTGGGGAAAGGACCAAGGTGGGCAGGTCTTTCTGCAAAAAATATTTTTTCTTTTTTTTTTTTAACACCACCAAAGCAAACCCACATCTCCAGTGGAGTGGGTCACTCAAGGAGAGGGAGAGAACAGCTCCCAGGCATACTCTGAGCAGAGACCTTAGGCCTGCCTCTGGACCCCAGTTTAGGCAGGGACAGGTCTCCCCCACTGCTGGTACCCCAGGAAGTGGAAGAAAAGTGATCAGTTCCAAACATGCAAGAAAAAAAACCAGCCAACCCCACAAAGCAAAAGTCAACAGAGGATAAATTAAAAAAAAAAAAAAAAAGAAGAAGAAGAAGAAGAACAGGTGAACAGATACCCTTAGAGGTGGCAGGTGGGCACCGGGTGATGGGGGAACCCCTTGGAGGACCTGTCTGCAGTGCTGGGGTGAAGGCCTTGGAGGCTCAAGGCATCTCCCTCATGGGGGTCTTGCAGGGATTCACGTGGCTCATCCCCTTACTGCATCCTCCACACTGGGCCAGAGTGCAAAGTCCATTGAGATATAAAAATATACAACTTGGTGGCATCCGGGGCTGGGCTGAGGCAGTGACCTTGACCACTGGCTGCCGTCTCTGTACAAGGAAGCAGCATCCAGCAGGGGCACCCAGGCCTCTCCAAGTCCAGGTTTGGGGTGGAGACTCAGGGTCCTTGGAGCAGCAGGAGTAGAGGCACTAATGAGTCCCACACGGGCCCACAGGAGCCCCGAAAGGTCTGGTTCTTTGGCACTTGGGGCAAATGGCTGGTTGAGAGCCGAGTGGGAGCAGCCCCTCACTTCCTCCCAGAACACCCAGGGCCAGGATGGCAGTAGCTTATGACTGTGGGCATGCACTGCCTCAGCAGAGGGAGACGGCCGGAGTGGGGTCCGAGGCCAGCCTCCTATGAATCCTCTCCCAGGATCTCCTTCACAAAGGCAGCAATGTCCGTCTTCTTGGTTTTGTGCAAAGTAAAGAAAGGGTGCTCCTGGTAGGGGCAGAGGCACAGTCACTGTGTGAGACAAGGGGGAGGCACCCTCCTCCCAAGCCACCCCAGCCCGTGTGCTCCTCAAGCACTGCACACTCCTCACCTTCCTGGAGTCCCGGTGCCCTAGGAAGGCCTCCATGCCTTCCAGGGCATGGCTGGCTCCTCCTCCAATTCCTGCGGCTGCTCTCCAGCCACACTAACCTTGCTTCCCCCACACGGCCAGGACCCTGCCCGCACTGGGCCCCGTACTCAGAACACCCTCTCCACCCATCTCTCTATCAGCAAGGATGTTGCTCATCCTTCCAGACTCAGTTCAAAAGGTCCCTCCTTCGTGAAGCCTTCCTTGATACCACCATGGTCCTGCTGCCCACTGTACTACCTGTGTACCTACACAAGGTGACCAAGAACTGACACGCATGAGCACAGGACCCAAAGAGGGCTGAGCCCTGTGCACAAAGAGCACCACCAGCAGCAGCCCAGCCCTAAAGCAGCAGAGTAGACACCCTCCTGCCCACACTCACCATCAGCTCCAGGTAACTCATGCGCTCCGCGGGGTTCTTCCTCAGGCTAGGAGAAAACAGAGCAGCTGACACCACTGGCACAGAAGAGGTGAGCCCAGGCAAGCTGGATGCCCCCTGCAGCAGCAGGGGACATGTGCTCCTAGGGCTCCAGAAAGAGGGGCTGGACCATGTGGGGGTCTTCCACAATGGGATGGGGATCCATGCATGCAAACTTACTGCAAGTTCCTTCCTCCTTTTGGGGGTCTTAATGTTCTTTTGTACCCACAGTGATACAAGGAATTTCCCTGATATGATATGAAGCCTAAGATGCTCTGCCTAACCATCATCTACTTGGTAACCTAATCAGAGAGGAGACACCGCATCACTGGTCCTGGGACAGCAAAGGCCCCAACTAAATAGGGTCAACCTGACCAATGACCTTTGTCTGCTGGGCTGAAAATGTTTTCAGCTTTTCCTATTTTCTAGAAGAAATAAAAGCTATGAATTTTCCTCCAAGTACCTCACTGCCCACAACACAAAATATAGGGATGGCAAGATAGCTCACCACACTAAGCCCCTGCTTAGGCAAGTGCAGGGACCAGGGTTTGATCCCTGGAACCACATGCTGAGCAGGCCTCACCCTCAAGCACACTGAGCCTGTGACCAAGTCCATGCATGGTGGCGCACGCATGTAATCCTAGAGCTGGGGAGGCTGAAAATAGGAGGATCACTGAGTCCAAGCTGTGTAGTGAGACCCTGTACCAAAATATTGGGGGGGAGAATATATAGCTTTGCACATATTATTTCCCTGTATTCTTGAACATGATTGACTGATTGATTGACTTAGTCTTTTTGAGACAGGGTCTTGCTATGCAATTCAGGCTGGCCTTTAGCTCTCTTTGTAGCCCCAGCTAGACTTGAACTCACAATGGTCCTCCTGCCTCAGCTTCCTGAGTGTTGGGATTATAGGCATGCACCACCATGCACAGCAACGTGATTAATTTTTATACAGCTCCCTTGCATGTGTTCGCTATTTTGATATAAAGATCTAGACATCAATAAGAGCAAACTTGTTTATCTATTTGCATCTTAAATATGCTTTTCTTTCTTTTCCTGTCTACTGAATTCATTTTAATTTATCTGAAAAAGACTGCATTAAAGCCTCCCCTGAGGATGGGTTTGGTCAGATTTTCCTTATGTTCTATTTCTGCCTTCCATGCTTGGATACGACCTTGTAAGGCAGGTTATTTGCTACAGGGAAAAGGTTGTGGTCCAGGAAGAGCCAGCAACTCACCACTGGGCAGTGAAGTCCACAAACTCAGGGGAGAAACGGTCTGCTGGGAGCTGAGGGGATGGCTCCTCTACCACCTGCTTCAGCTGCTGGAACGGGGTCCCCCAGGACTCGTAAGGGAACCGCAGAATGGCCATCTCAATCTGTAATGGGGACAGTGGGGTCAGCAGGCTCAGCCCAAGATTAAACCACACTATGAACTGGAAGTGGGGACTGGAAGTACTTGCCCACCCTGGCCCTGTCCCCAGTCAGGCCATAAGGCAGTCCACGGGCCAAGTCACTGACCTCCTCGTGCATTCCAGCAAACGAGGCACAAACGCCAGGGGCACCAGGACTTGGCACCCGACCTAGCCAGAAGAACCAGCTCACATGGCATACCAACCAGACTAAGCATCGGTGTGTCAGATAGTATACATATTTTACCTAGTAAGCCGGGTTATGCTCCACTGAAAACTTTAGGAAGGTGAGAGCTGTGGGTACTTTGCTGTGAGGCAGCAGGAGTAGCAGGTCAGACAGGTCCCAGGTCTGTGGTTGCCAAAACCCACTGCCTTCCCTAATGTCCCCCCAACACAGACTTGAGTGTCTACTGTCCTTTATTCAGGCTATTGCTTCTGCAGAAGGGCACAGGGCAAATGAGATAACTGTCATTCATGCCTGTCTTGCAATGGTGAAGGAACGTGACACTGTGAGGCCTGAATCTGGCTAGCTCCCTACCTCAGCTCCACCCATCCATCAGCAGGGCAGTCTGCGGCTCCCTCTCTGTAGCACCCACCCCCATGCCTCACGCTACATCTTCCTCCTCCTCCGTCCCATCACTCTTGTTCTGACCACCTCCTGGACAAGTGGCTGGCACAGTCTCACCCTCCTGCTGAGCCTGGACCCCACCACCACCCCTAAAGGCAATATCAAGTCAACTGGTCTCTATGCCCTCTCAGGTTCTGGCCCTATCACTGTCTGAAGCGGGCAGAAGCCACCAACAGACTGGCCAGTCTACAGCAAGTCTAGCTCCCGGTCTGACCAGTGGGGTGAAAACACATGTCAGCCCAGCCCAGGCCCCTGCCTGGCACAGCACAAGGTCCCTCAGTGACAGGCTACAATCACCATGATGAACAGAACAGACCTCGGCTCAGATAAATGCCTTGTGTTAGAACTGGCACCCAAATAAGTACCGATTACTGTGCTGGAACGGGCCTTCCCAACTGGCTATGGGCCCTTCTCCAGCCAAGGCACAAAAGCCCTTGGCAGCAGATGACCCACACAAGCCACTGGCAGTGGTTGTCACCTGCGTGCATGCCTGTGTGCAGGGGATGAAACCCTGCAGCCTCGGGGTACTGTCCCTTACAGTGTTCACTGATTCCAACATTCAAACCTGAGGTCACTCTAGGAGCTGCAAAGGAAAGACCAGCTAAATTTATAATCAGAAAAACAGAAAAACCTCCAATCTTGACCTTATAATCCCTTTTTGGGTAATAATTTTCAAATGAGCTAAAAAATAAAGAGCCTGTGGGCACAAACATGCAGGGTATAGTATCACATGTCAAAGAAACATTTAGAAGCAGCCTCAGTATCAGCACCAATGACTAGGCTCCCCACAGGCAGCAGTCTCAGGCGGGGGGGCAGCAGAGAGACCCCTGTGAGGCCTCTACGTGACGCCAAACTGGCCAGTGTTTGGTCACTGCATGTTATGGACCAAGAGCCCTCCCAAGTGTGACCTGTCTGCCGGGGCATCCACTCTGAGACCTGCAATATGTGCAGCTCCCAGGGCCAGCGCCCACCTGAAGACACGCCACACTGCCTCAACAGTCACCCCGGGGAAGTAAGGAGTTCAGGAGGAAAGAAGCAGTTGGAAAAACAAAGCACACTCATCACAGTCAAGCAAATGGCTGTAGTCTTATGAAAGATGCTGACAAAGATTTTTTATGGCTCAGAGGAATCTGAGCCCTGTGTAATACTAAGTTGAAAAGGCAGGGGCTGGGGATATAGCTCAGCAGTACAAGTGCCTGCTTGGCAAGTGCAAGGTCCTGAGTTCGATTCCCCGTACCAAAACAAGGGGAAAAAAATTAAATCTTTTTTTCTTTTACAAAGAAGCAACAGCAGGAAACACATACTGTTGGCAGTTAGCAAAAGGGGGCAAGAAGGTCTCTACGGAAAAGTCATTTTCCCCCACTTTCCCTGTTTTAAAAAGGGTCTAACTTGTGTTTTATATTGGGGTTCCACACCATTTCCTGTTTTAAACTGGGGTCTATTCAATTTCCTCTATGCTTTATATTGGGGCTCTACTCCACTTCCTGTTTTACAATGGGGTTCTACTCTACTTGCAGCTTCTGGGGAACCCTGCCCCCTTGAACTTGGGTGGGTATCATGGTGCTGGACCAACGCAAAGAAGCAGAAGCAAGACTCAACCCATGCCAGGCCACCTCTGAAACATTTCCAGCTGGGAGCCAGCTGCCACAAAAGCATTCCGGCCATGCCGACACGGCCACACAGAGAGGAGGCCAAGAGCCGGATGTGAGGAAGCCATAGTGAGACTGCTCAGTGAAGCCCATGCTTATAAGGCCTTCTGGGGAGCTTCTAATCTGGCCACAGCAGATGCAGCAGAAGATGGCCATCAGAGTTGACACCTCCTACCCAACCTCGCACCTTCCTAGAGATGAGGATGGGCTGCAGACTGAGCACAAGAAGCCTTTGGGCTGCTGCATACACGGGGTACTGACCGGGTTCCCCCACCTCCCACTGCTCTTCCCTGATTACTCATGAGTTGCACTCTTTAGGGCACAGGAGTAAACAGTGAGGTTGTTCCTTAGTTCTGTAAGTCATTCTGGCAAGTGATCACACCAAGAACCCCCAATTTATAAGCGGTCAGCAATACAGCAGAGCTGTGATACACTGCTGCAAATGAAGGATTTTTGTTGTTGTTTGGCTACCTCAGGATGCCTTAAGGGCAGGTCTACAAAAGCCTAAGAATCTGGAGATCAAGCCACATCCTGAGCCTGACTGCCTTTGCTTAAGCAGGCACTTACACAACTGAGCTAATGAGCAGGCCCCTCATTGCTGCAAATGAAGTGGCTGAACTCTTGGTTAAGGGGCCTGAGTCAACTATTGAAGGACGGTGCTGGAGTTGGGCTGGGAGATACACCACTGGGGACCCAGAGAACCCAAAGGCACTGCAAGCCCTTCTTAGCACAGATCTGATTCTGCCTGACAACCCCATCCCCAACACCAACAAGCAAGGAGACCAAGGCAAGGGGTTGTCCTGGGCTAGGCTCTCTGGGACTGGGAAGGTACATTAGTCCTGAAGGCTGGGCTGGAAAAGAGGAACTAATGACCACTGCAGTCAGTCATGTCAACTGGACTGAGCTTGAAGGCAGGCAGCCGCAATGACGTAACATCCGTCCCCATGTGCTTGCCTCAGGTACATTGAGATCTGGTGGGGAAATGTCCTAACCGTTCTCCTGTCCCTGCAATCTGCCTCCTCCTGGCTGCCATAGTGGGCTTTCTCAAGTGAGAGTGTGACTTCACCGTGGTGAAGAGTGGGGTTCCAGCAAGCAGTACCAGAAGAAACAAGGGACCACTCCTCCACATGGAGCCACAGCCACCCATGTCAGGGTCCGCTTCAGCGCCACAGGCCCAGGGGTAAAGAGTCTCACCTATCCAAGGAAATGCAACAGGTGCCCACAGGAAGTACGCTTCCTGCTGGGAAGTATCCATAGAGATTTTGCTATCTCACTTTGGAAGTTATTTGCATAGGGACAGCTCGATTTGGCTGTGACTTCTCAAATACGCACCAACAGCTCTGGGGGCAAGCCAGTGGCTGATTTCACAGAGCACGGAGACTGCTCAGGATACAGAAGCCAAGGCATCACCGTGTTGCTCCCAGGCATTCTCCTTACACAGACAGAAATTTCTCACAGCACATATTCACCTTATATTTTGAAGCCAATATTAAGACATCAAGTATTTTCCAGTCCCCTTAAGGTCATGGCCCGGGCATGACACCACTCATCCCCACCTGACCAACAAGGACCCAGCCCTGGGCTGTACCATGGTGATGCCGAGACTCCAGACATCTGACTTGACGTTGTAGCCCTTCTGGTTCAGCTCCGGGTTGATTCTCTCTGGCTGCAAGAGACACCAGTGGGGCATGAGCTCTTCTGCCCCAAGACTGAGTACACACCATCTTTAACCTGCCCTGAACCTTACCTGTTCTATCTATGACAGAGAAGGAAACTGAGGCCAGTGAAGGTCAGGGCCCAACTCTGCCCTGTGGCCAACTCCTGCCCCTTCATGCCTAAGGGACCCTACATTCCCAAACTGGGTGCCCTGAAGCACAGGTCACGTGGTACAGGCCCCCTCTGTGGCAGAGAACAGTAGCAGAGGCCCACCACCCAGAGGCAGGGCTCTCCCAGCTGGCAGGCCTCTCCCAGCAGCACTCACAGCCATGTAGGGCTTGCAGCCAGCATCCATCGTCTTAGCCACGGAGTCCACCAGGTAGCCGCTGATGCCAAAGTCACACATCTTCACGTGGCCCTCCCTGTTGATCAGCACATTGGACGGCTTCACGTCTGCAGGGCGGAACAGACTTTCTCAGCCCAGTCCCAGAGCCCACCTGCAGGCCAGTGCCACACTCCAGCTGGTGCCCCTCCTCCCACACCCAAGACCCTGCAGGGTGATTTCACCAGGGTCCAAAGATCCCAAAAGGCACGTGAGGCGGTGAGGGGTGCCACAGTGACCAGAGCCTGGGCCCACAGCTGGGAGACAAAGCCAGGACATGCCTCTCCTAGACTCTACCACAGAGACAAAGACGTGGCTGTGGATTCACTGCTCAGAGAGCCACCTGTGTCCATCCTTCCCACTCTGGACACAAGATCCAGGGAGCACAAGGTGCCACGTAGGCAGCATAGTCATCTAACACATGGGGACAGGACCTATGCACAACAGAGCAGGTGACCAACAGCAAGAAACCAACAGGCAAATGCACACATGACGCAGGCACCCCTTGTGTCTCCATAGAGACCTGGGTGCAGAAATGGTACAGGAGAAGTAGAGGTTTCCATGCCAAAGGATAGGTGACTGTGAGCTAGGGACAGGGACTAGGATGGATAGCAAAGGGTCTAAAGCAGCTCAATGTTCTTCATTTTTTAAAAAGTAATAAGATAAGCCAGGCATGGGAGTACAAGCCTGTCACCCCAGCACTCTGCATAGCTGAGGCAGGAAGATTGCAAGTTCAAGCCCAGACTGAGAAACGTACAGAATCTTGTCTCAAAATTAAAAATTTTTAAAAAATCAAAAAGGGCTCAGGGGTGTGACTCAGAATGAAAGCCCTGGGTTTAATCTCCTGTATCAAAAAAAAAAAAAAAAAAGCAAAAGCAATCTATAATCCCAGCACTCAGGAAGCTGAGGCAGGAGGAACATTCCAAGTACAAAACTAGCCTGGGCTACAAAGTGAGCTCAAAGCCAAACAGTTGCATAGTTCTCAAAAGGATGGGGAAAAAAAAAAAAAAAAAAGCAGTAAGTCTGAGTGTATGGACTGCACTGGAGCGTAGCAGTAGAATCAGCTAAATGACCACAACCTTGAGCCCAAAACCATGAAGCCAATGATAGGCTGCATGTTCAAGATCAGCACAAAACACTAAGTGCCTACTCAGGCGAGCACAGGAACCAGGGTTTGATCCCTGGACCCCTATGCTGCACCAGCCCCAGCCCTGGGTGCGCTGAGCCAGCCACCAAGTCAGCAACTGAGTCCAGGCATGGAGGTGCATGCCTGTAATCCCAGGACTGGGGAGGCTGAAGACAGGAGGATCACTACTAGTCCGAGCTGCGTAGTGAGACCCTGTACCAAATACATAAATTAAAAAAAAAAAAAAAAAGATTAGCACAAACCAACTCCCATGGGCATAGGACACCACACAGGAAGGGGGACCCAGAAAGGCTGAAGGGCGCATGCATCTTGGCAGAGGTAGACTCACAGCTGTGAACATCTATCTGACTCAGGGTGGCATGCCTGGTCCTGGGCTTTCATAGAATGTCAACTGTACACCAAGGCAAGAATGGTCAACCATGCCCAGGACACAAGTGGGTCCACCATGTGCTCTAAGCACCAACAGGTCAGAGCACATTTGGGCAGAGAGTAGCCTGAAGCATGCTGAGCACCTAGTCTATCCCTCGTTGAGCCTTAGGCCTGCCCAGCCTCAGGCAGCCAGCGGTGTGGGAACTGACCTCTGTGGATCACAGACAGCTTGCTGTGCAGGTGCTCCAGGGCCCGCACGATCTGGACAGAGACGGGAAGAGGGGAGAGATGGGACTGTTATTACAGGTGGCACTGACAGTGACGAAGTGCTGCAGCCCACCCCTCCACACACCCCAGCATTTGCCCTGGCGTTCCGGCCAGCTTGGGGCAAACTCCCTAGCCTGCTGCCTCCCTCAGCCCCAAGTCTCACAGGAAATACCCATGACTCCTGCAGATCTCCAGCTGCCCCTCCCAGAAAGGAGGGGTGTAGGGCTACAGGCTGGTGGGGGGGGGCATCTTCTGGGGCCTCCAGCAGAGGGAGTGTGAGGCATAGGATACTTTAAGGTTCCCAGATGCAGTTAGGACTAAGAACCACAGGAAGCCTCAATGCTACTGCTTTTTCCTTTGGATGCAAGAATGTCTGTCTTTATCTAGAAATGTTCAGACTCAAAAAACAAATGTTTCTTCCCATCTCAGCTGGCATCTTTTTGGAATGCCTCACAGCACCTTTAATATGAAGTACTTATAAAGAAGTCTTTTTATATATATATAGTCCCAAATGAGAGATGTATTCAAAAGCTTAGAGGCAGGGAACTGCCAAGTCTGTGGACTCCAGGAGCACCAGGCCCTGGGTCTTCTCAGTAAAAAGACACTCACCTCAGCAGGGGGAGGAGATGGTCCCCTGGGAATGCTTGCTCTGCCCGAGTCAGTCCTGCTGGGCAAAGCCGGGCCCCAAGAATGCCCACCAACCAGCCCAGCCACTTACAGACACCGCAATCTCCCCCAGAATGTCCTCTGGAATTGTCATGTTTTTCTCCAGCACCTTCCGGTAGAACTTGTCCAGGGACGTGTCCATGAGCTCCATGCAGATCCACACATCTCCCTGCAGAGGACACCCAGTGCTCAGCCAGGCCCACAGGCCCAAGCTGCTGAAGGACAGCCCCACTTCCACCTTGTAGGGCAGGATGGTGCCCGCCCACTTGGCACTTCCCATCATCCCTCCCACCTTCTCCCACCTGCATGACCCTCACTGCCTGGCCCACCCAACATGTCCCACCCCGCCAGGCTCTTGTTACCTGGCCTACTCTGCTGACTCCTGTGCTGGCCTCTGGACTCTACCACCTTGGTTTCCTCTGTCTGATCCCTAATTCCAAGGCACAGCCAGCAAGCTTGTCCCCCCTACTAGCTCTGCCCTGGCAGAGGTTCCCTCTCCTGCAGGAATTTGCTCCCTCTTCCTGGCACATCCCTGCACTCCAGGACAGCCTGTGGGAAGGCAGCAACCCGTCCTAGCCTCCCCACCAGCTTGGCCTGACTCACAAGGGTGCTCGCCCACCATGTGAGAGGAGGTGCGGACTCTCCAGGTCTCAGAGAGTGAGGCCGGGCGGGGGACATCCAGGGACCACCCAGCAGCTCTGCAAAGACAGTTAAGTCTCCACTGCAAGCCATGCCAGCCAGCCTGACTCCTGTCTCCTCCTCACCCCAGACCAGCATGTCACATCACTTGCCACAGCTCAGGTATAACAGCTCTGTCCTTCCATCCCCAGGCGCTGCCCCCAGCCACACCTCCAACTCTTCTCTCCCCTCAATGCCCAGTCCTTTCCAAAGACCTAGAATCCAACCCAGAATTGCATGTCTTCATGGCTGCTCCCAGTCTGGAGCCTATTTCCAGCCCTCATGGCTGCTGCTGCTGGGTGGCAGATGGTCATACAAACTACAGCCATTACTGAGTCCCAGGCCCACAGTGCATCCTCTCACCTCCATGACAACTTTAGGAAGTGTGCATAATCACCAGCCTCATTTTATAGACAAGGAAAACTGAGACACAGAGCAGGGCAGCAAGAGCTGGGAAGCAGGGAACCAGACAGCCTGGCCACTGGATCTGTGCTTTCTGCAACTATGCAGGGAGGTGCTATGTTTGGTGCCCCTACATCCCCCAAGTCCTCGGCATCTGGCACACAAGTGGGGCAGAATGACGGCAGTTACTGGTCCCTGCCTACCCCAACACTTCTCTGTAGAGAACCCCACAGAAGGTGACAGGAGTCCTCCTTAATTCCGAACCTCTCTAAAGAGGGCCCCGTAGAAGGTGACGGTATAGAAGCAGTCGACTGTGCGCATGTTGATGTCCAGGTCCATGAGCAGCCGCTTCTGTTCCTGGGAGTTCACAGTGGCTCGGATCCGCTGCAGGGAAAGGTGAGGCTCAGGGAGGGTGGGCGGGCCAAGCACCTCACCCTGACAGGGAGGCTGAGGGACCCATGGCCAGCCTGCCCTGAGAAGCTCTTCCCTACCACTTATCACAGCAAGTGACAGAGCTATCTGGCAGGAGGCCACCTCATATGCTCAATGCTGTGCCTCCTCCAGGAAGCCTTTCCAGCTACCTCCTGGCAGGGCAGGGTGGAGAGGCTGGCCCGCTTACCTTCACAGCCATGATGGTGCCACTCTGGGCATGCCGCACCTTCTCCACCACTCCATAAGCTCCACGGCCCAGCTCTGAGATGGTCACCAGGTCATCAGCCTCCACCTCAAAGTTCTTAGGGGACAAAAAGAGAGAACCTGGTGGCTGCTAAGTCAAGAGTTGGCCCTTACCCCTCATCCAGTGGAAATAACAGACAAGTTGGTCAAGTTTTGAATTCAAACTCGTACCAGCCTCTCCCTACTGTACAACCTCGAGAAAGTAACACTCTGAACTTCACACTGTCCTCTAGAAAAACGTTACAGCACCAACATCCCAAGGAGGCAAACAGCACCCCACCCTGATGGACCGAATCATCGGTCTGATTGCTATCTGCTGAGATGCAAGCCCCTCTTGGGTACTACAGACTCAAAGAAAACCAAGGTCTGTCCTGGTAAGGGCTGCTTTCCCCTGGAAGAGGTACATATGGGGCACAAGCAAGGAGATGAATAGAACATGGGCACATGAAGTGTCAGAGCAGTAAGAACAGCCAAGAAGAGGCCCCAAGCACGCACCAGGAAGGCCCCAGCATGGCCTTCAGTGTCATACGGTCCCTGAGTCAGGCTCTCTGCACCTGGCACCCTCCCAAGCATTATGCACACCGCTGCACAGGCCAGCTCTGACTCCACAGCTCTGGTAGCCCAGAAGCCTGTGTGATCATCACATTGCTCAGATGACACAGACGTCACGGACTCATGCCCACACTCTGAGGGACCCACGACCCCTGGAGGCAGGTTTGCCACTCCCCGCTAACACCAAGGTGGGGACAAGTTCTTTTCCAGAGCCCAGGCTGTCCACCACCATAGCCACCTCCAATGGCCCTTGCAGATAAGTGGGAGGTCCCACCCAGTGCAACTGGCACCTACTCGGTCTCCAATAGTGATGAAAGTCCGGGAGTCCAGGTTCCTGGGAGGTCTGTGGAGAAAGCATATCCCATGAGCCTCCAGGAGAAACACTATTCTTTTTTTTTTTTTTTTTTGGGGGAACCGGGAATTGAACTCAGGCCCTTGCTCTTGCCAGAGAAGCGCTTATTCCACTGAGCCATCTCCCCAGCCCCCAAAATCATTATTCTAACAGATGGAAGGACTAGGGGAACAAGGAATGTCTCGACCCCAGCACAGCTCCCAAGGCCATCTCATTTCATCAGTGGCTAAGTGCATACTAGATGCCAATGTGGCCTTACAGGTCCCAGAGCAGATGGCCAATGCCTGCTAGCTTCCATGGTCACCCACCTAGTCCAACACTGCTCAGAGCAGGAGAAGGAGCAAGGCAGAGCCAGCACCCACCCAACTGGCTGCTATCTTCACTAAGTCCCCTCAGGAAGGCTCTTCTGGCTGAGCCAGAGTGAGAAACGGAGGCAGACTCACGTGGGGTTGGGCGCAGGCGGCTTGTACACACAGGATATCCGTAAATCCTTCCTCCTCTTGGATTTGCCTAAAATGGAAAGAAGAGAAGGTGTCTGATCAATCCCTCAGTTCATCTATGTCTGCTAGATGGGGTAAGGTAGAACACAGAGATCACGCAGGCCTCCCTGCTCATGTGGCTCCCTAGATACCTGAGGAATAGTGCAGTCAGGGACTTCAGATGTCCCAGGCAAGTGAGCCCACCCCAGCTGGTGCATCAGGGAAAGGACACACCGGGGCTGGGCACCTACTGTCCTGGCAGCCCACAGAGGAAGGAGAGGCCACACCCATCTGCCTCTCAGAGTCCATGCTATAGCTATGCATCCCGGCCACCACCAGTGCACCTGGTGGCACAGTGTGCACTGCCCTGGGGCTGGGCTACGCAGGAATGGCCAGGCTATCCTGCAGCAGAGATGGGGATGCAGATGGAGCCCGGGCACCCTCCACAGGCCACGTGGCTGGAGGGAGCAGGGCCAGCTCCAAGTGCTGGGGTTTGCAGGCACCAGCACTCCTGACCCTGCAGAAGGTCTATGTCGCTCAGAAATTCTTTCTTAATCCCCAGGACCTCAGAATGTGACCTTATTTGGAGATGAGGTCTTTACAGAGGTAATTAAATTAAATTAGGTCACTAGGGTGGGCCCTAATCCAGTATGACTAGTGTCCTCATAAAACAGGAAATTGGGACAGAGACAGGCAGAGAGGGAAGACAAGATGAGAAGCCCCGTCAGAGATGGCCATCTACAAGCTCACAAGAGCCTGAGTGGGTGCAACCCAACCAAACCATACAGCCTCAAGAGACCAGCTCTGCCCACACCTCACCTCAGACTTCTAGCCTCCAAACTGCGGGCCTCACTACAGCACCCTCAGACCCACACGGTGCCCACCACCACATACCAGAGCCCAGATTGTCTCCCCCACCTCAATCCATAACCAGCCCCAGTGGCCCCTTTTAGGTGGTACCTGAGGCAGACCCAGTCCCAGGCCTGAGCTGCACTATCCATCCCCTAGAAGTTTCAGTCTCCCAGTGTGTCACTCTGAAACACAAAGGCCTGCCTCCTGTGGCCAGAGGCTTACAGTAGCTGCAAGCCAGCACCTCCTGGCCAGGGTCACACCTGGGGTCAGCACCTACGCACAGGGAATCCTTACCCTTCTCAACTTCAGCTTCCCCTCTAGGGAAAGCTGGAGCACTGACACCATAAAGCACTCTTCAAACCGTGGCCATGGTCACACATACGTGAGGAGCGTGCCACTGGTGCCAGCACACATGCGTTCTAGGACAAGAGGACACCCACATGCCATCTATGAAGTGAGATGGACAAGGTGAGCTTGACCCAGCAGCACCCGCTTCCCTGGTCAGGGCCGCGGTCAGGGACAGCCAGGATGCCCTCTAGAGCTGGCTCCAAGAGCTGGACCCGAATGCCCCAGGGGCTAAAGCCAGTGCTCCTCCCTCTCCCAGCGCCATGGAGCTGTCACTTATGCTACCCTCCACATGGCACCAGCAGGCCCAGGTCCCACATCACCTCAGACTGGCTGAGGCCAGCACTGATTGACACTAAGGAGGATCTGTACTTAAGAGCACAGCTGGGTTGGCACACAAGGGGGCTCCTGAGCTAGACCACTCTTTGAAAAAGGCACAGTGTCATCTTACAGAATGGAAGAGGCAGGATAAAGGAAGGCAGAAGTGTGCTCCATGCTCTCAGATCCACTCTCGTGAGGTATTCACCCAAGATACCAAACATAAGTGGATGACAAAGCTGAGATTCAAACGTGGCTCCATGGGACCACCCAAGGCAATAACATACCAGCCCCACACGTCCCTTGCAAAGGACCACTGCCACCTGCTCAGCCTGCCCTCTGCTGCACCACCACCACCACCACCACCACCTCTGCACCCCTACTGCTGCTAGCGTCTCTAACTGCTAGCCACTCAGGGCCTGGGAACAACCCATGACCCCACCACAACCTGACAGGGACCCCATCTCTGGAGCCACCTCTGAACCAGAAAGGGATCCAGCCTCAGCCCTGGTGCAACACAGCGCGGAGCTGCATTCGTGAGCCAGGCAGATGGGCCATTTGGACTCCTGAGAGTGCTGATCTGGAGATCTATCAGGCCAGCTGGGGATCCACAATGCCCTCCTACAGAAAGCTCTCATGTGGTAGACAGAGGCCTGGGACCTCATGCTGGGCAGGAAACAGGAAGTTAGCCTGGGGACCTAAAGGCTCCCAGGATTCCCCTCGCCTGAGACATACTACAGCACAAGAACAAAAAGAGCAAAGAGAAGTCATGTTGTACAGGGCTGTCAGCTCCTCTGGACCATCTGCCTGTGACCTCTGGGTCACAGTCACGGGGTGTGCTCCAGGGGATCCTGACAGGGACTCTGGCCCAACGGCTACAGTGCAGCTGAAATAAGGCAGCCACAGGGAATCTCTGTACCCAGCTGTGAAACCAGGCTGGGCTGCCCCTGGCACCTCAGGCTCCCTATCTGCAAGACAGAGCTAAACAGAAATGCCATCCACTCACCTACCCCCTCAGAAGGTCAGAGGAGTAAGAGAGGGTGCATCTGTGGAGTGCCTGGCATACAACATTTTTGTGCTAATGATGCTATAAAAAAGAAAGCAAAGGGTGTTTTCTGCTTAAAGATAGTTATTGGATATTTATAACCACATTTAAAAAAAAAATGGAGGGTCAGCCAGAAGCTTAGTGGACTAAAGCGCCTGCAGCGACCAGGGTTTGATTCCCGGCAGGCTGGACTGGCCCCGCCCCCAGGGTGCACTAACAATGTTGGCTGAGACTGGGCGTGGTGGTGCGCACCTGTAATCCCAGGGCTTGGGAGGGTGAAAGCAGGAGGATCTCTACAAGTCTGATCTATGTAGTGAAACCCTGTAGACCCTGTACTAAATACATTAAAAAAATAAATAAACAGAATAGAATAAAATATGGTTTCAAACTGCGGGGAGGGACCTGGGAGATAGCTCAGTAGAATGTGCGCCTGCTTGACAAGTGCAAGGTCATGAGTTCAATCCCCAGTACAAAAAAAAAAAAAAGAAAAGAAAAGAAAAGAAAAGAAATGGAGGGGAAAAAAAGTGAAACTCTGGCCTTCTCTGGGGGATTCCCAGCTGAACCCCCATCCCAGGCTGCCTCTGGCTTCTCGCCTTCTATCCACCTTACATTGCAGATTCAGGGAGACTGCAAGATAATCACCTCACCAGGACTTAGTCTCCCCACCTGTCAAGGGCATGTCCCCATCCACAGCAAGGCTGGGTACGAAGCCCACCCCTCCTCCCAGGCTGGGCAGCACTCGGCCTGACCTTGCCACCTGTCCTGAAGAGATACCAGCCTGCGTCAGGAGTGACCTGGGCTCTGTGGTACACCCACACCAGCTGTCAGGGGCAGTGGGTGGGGTCACCATGGAGACAACCCAGAAACAAGCCTCAGGCCACCAGCCACCACTACAGAGATCTGCCATCAACGTCAGGGCTGGGCCCAGATGGCCAGGCAGCCCAGGGCTACCCAGGTGCAGCCTGAGGTGGTGACCGTAGCCACAACAAACACAGGCCACCATCGGCAAAGCCCAACAGGCCCGCCAGACTCAACTCACAGGGATCCTGTGCACACAAGCCTGGTGCCAGGTCTGTATCCTCAGGCCACACCAGCCCCACAGCACCCTCCACAGGGAGTGAGGAAACTGAGGTCAAGAAAAATTCAGCAGCTGACCTGAGGTCACACCAGCCTCAGCTCAAGCTGCTCCAAGTCTCCTCCAACCAGCCCCTCCCTCAAGCTCGAGCCACTGTTCCCCCTTATCATCCCTCAAATGAGTCTTTTTTTTTTTCCAGCACCATGCCCAGGGCCTGAGGCCTCGCACGTGCCAGGCAAATGCTCTACCACTGAGCTATATCCCCAGCCTTTTCTTTCATTTTTATTTTGAGATATGATCTCACTAAGTAGCCCAAGCTGGCAATGGACTCTCAATCCTCCTACCTCAGGCTCCCAAGTCACTGGGATCACAGACGAGCAGCACAGCTTGAATGGGCCATCTTCTCTTCCACCCCAGTGCCTTCGCACATGCCATCCCCTCTGTCCAGAATGCCATTTCCTGAAACTCTACACGGTGAGACATGGCCTATTCAGAGAGGCTCCTGACCACTCCAGCAAAGCTCCCTTATTACTGACTCTCCCTAAATCCTACTGGCCTCGCTCCTGCCACTTCTCACCACTCATTATTCTGTAGTTATACCTTAGAGAAGTCACTCAGGAGCCAAACAGCCCAGGTCCAATTGCGATTCTGCCTCTGCCCAGCTGTGAGGCCTTAGGCAAGTAACTGAACCTCTCAGGGCCTGATACAGTGGTAATAGATTGACCTCCAGGGTTATCAGTGCGCAGCCTCAGCAATGTCTGACTTAAGATTGGCTAGGATGGCTTATAAACCCACAGCTAAGACTGCACCAGCCCTCTGCTCCAGGAGATCTCTCTGTAGCTCCATGACAGAAGGGTTTGCATGGGTCTGCAGTGCTGAGTGGGTCCAAGAGCAGAGACTCACATAGTGGCAGTCACAAGGTGTGCTTGCAGGGGGCTGTGGATGTGAAGGCAGGTCTGACATCCCACAGGGAGCAGAGACAGCCTTGTAGCAAGCTGCTCTCAGAGAAACCGCACACCAACCCCACGCAGCCCAAACCAAGGCTCCTGCGACCAAGCAATACCTGCCCCCCTACTTGTGGGTATTTCAGGCCTTTCTCATGGGCCCTGATTCTGAGAGATATCCCAGCCCTGAGTGTCCATGCCCATGACACTCTCCCCAGGACCCAAGTACCCTCAGAGAGGTCTCCAAAAATCTAAGCATGCACAGGAACCAGGACGAGGCCTGAAGGAAATGTGGGCCACAGGAAGGGAAAAAGGTTCTCTCACTTAGCACCTACTACCCACCATATGGGCGCTGCCCCATCCAGCCTCATGGTCACCCTGGCACCAGAACCACCTTTTCTCCCACCTCACAGGTGAGCAACAAGCCACAGCTGAGGGAGAGTGTCTTGAGG